GTTCTCCGTTTGATCTGTGTCCCTTTTCGTAAAAACGCGTATTTCGAGCTGCCTCCCTTTTCGTAAACATATATTTCGAGCTATGTCAAGGGCGCCGGCAGCGGGAAGCAAGAGGGTGCACTTGTACCCCTCTGGATTTTTTTTCCTTTCTTTTTTTTAACAATTAAAGCGATACAGAAAAACAATTTTGTTATAAATATTTTTATTCCAAAACAAATAATTAAATAATTGACACATAACAATTAAAAAATTGTTTAATCAAACAAGAATTGTAATCGTCTTGTTTGCGGCCCAAATCTGTTTATAACTTTTTCAATGAATTCTGAGTCATCTTTGATTCTTTTCTTATGCACGCTGAGCATGTTCAAACTTGGCAGATATCTAAGCTATATTTTTAAATTTCATTTAAGAAAATATAAATAATATTATATTTTCTATTAGTTATTTAGTTTAACAAAGGTGTATAATAACACAAACTGACTTTTCACAACTGCAAAACTTCATCAACACAGTAAATACCAATGTTAAGCGTGCACAAACACGTTAGTATACGAAACTACTGTTTGTAGCTATTTGAGTTTCAAAGTCAATAGCCATGCCAACGCCATCAATAGTTTCTTGTGGCAAAATTTGCAAGTACAAGAAATTCGTACTTTTTTTTTTTTAAATATCTTGTTAACAATGAAGAAATGTATCTTGAAAAGAACTAACAGATGAAAGTATATGTAATACCAAAACAAAATGCAATAACAGAAAATTTTACATTTTTTTTTTCTTTTTGCATTTTGTTTTGCGTTAGTTTGTTAGAGGGTTGCACCCCCTTTTATATTATTCTGCCGGCGCCCTTGATCTATGTCCGTTTTCGTAAACACGCATTTCAAGCTGCGTCCCTTTCATAAACACACGTTTCGGGGCGTGTCTTTTTTTTGTAAACCCACCTTTCGAGGTGTGTCCCTTTTCGTAAACATGTATTTCTAGTTATGTCCATATTTAAAAAGTCACAGACGATTTGTAATACAGTAGGGAACCGATTATCCGGAACGATCGGGACCATCGCTATTCCCATCGCTATTCCGGATAACTGATTTTTCCGGATTTCTGAATCGCTAAAAAAAGCAGCTTTTTTTATTGTTAAACCCAACTAAAAAAAATTTTTTTTTGGAAATAATCTTAAAAAGAAGAAAAAACGATGGAGTAATACACTAATGATTATTTCCAAAATGATGGTAAGGTAAACATCTTTCAAAAAAAGAAAGAAAAATCCTAAAATCTTATGAGGAAAAAAACATTTTTTTAAAAAAATGGCGGGAAAATTTATCGAATTTCGTTCCGGTTTTTTGGTTTTCCGGTTTTCTGATTTCCGGATAACGGGTTCTGTACTGTAATATAGTAAGCAGATATTATCCAGTTCAATCTAATACGGTAATAAAAGTAGTTGAAGTTAACCACTGAAATTTTAAATAATATTGTGGTAAAAATGTAAATATTATAATAATAATAATATAATAATATATAAATAGGATTTTATAATATATAAATAGAGTGTTATAAATACATTATGATATGAATTTGAGTACATTATAAATCCGCTAAAAAATTAAATATCATTCCATTTTTGAAAAAATAATTGATATTGTATAACAAAAAAAAAATATATATATAATTGCAATGACCGTAGCTAATATTATAGATTTTGAAACCACAATCTTGTGCCTTTTAAGTTTAATTTAAAAATTGAAGCCAAATTTTACCATAAAATAGGGTCTAAACAATCCTACAGCAAAATATACCAGAAAAAAAGCTCTCCTCCTCACTTACAATAACGTCACGACCCAGTTTCTAACATATTTTATTTAATTTTGAAACAATTTCCACTGTATAAGAAGCTGTTGTAGACGTTAGCGCACAGTATCTTGTAAATAAGTTTTGCTGGATACGATTCGTAATTGTGATTAACTAATTATCCATACATATTTTTTCATTATTTTCGAGAGTAATTATTTTACTGAAAACGGCGATTTCTTATCAGTGAAGCTCTCTGAAAGAGTTGAACTACTTGCAAGCAGTTAAATGAAAGTGCATTCAATTGTCAGTATTTTTTTATAATAAATATTGTTTGTTATGAGTATTTTTTTATTATTATCACGGTGTTCTTCGAATTAGCTTTTCTTAATTTGCCATAACTAAGTTCTGCTTACTTCTTTCATCACACGGTTTCTTATAAAAAGTCTGCGCAGACTATTTAAAAAGTAAGCCAACTGCGCTTAGGTACTGAACATCTAATATGAAAATACCTGAAAGTAATTTTTCTTACTTCAATATTTATAAAATTGATCAATTAATTTGCAGTAAATGACAATGAAGTAAGGCAAACCAATCATATTCATTAATTAAATAGATTTTAAAGCCTATATATTTGTCAAAACTTTCTTGTTTTTACTATATTTCTAATTAAATAGTTGTTGTGTAAACTGGTTTACGTAGAGATCTTATAAGAGTACCTTTCAGAAACAGAGTGGAGGCTTTTAGTTATAGAAGATGGTGGCTAACCTCAGCAAAAACTGTAAGTTTGCAAGCATAAATCGTAAATTCTCAACTACCTGATTAATTATAGTGATCAAAGGAGTGTTAGCGGTTGTAAAATTTTCTTGCCGCTTCAAAAGTTACAACACCTATTTATTACTTTTGAAAAATAATTTCAGTATGATGTTGTTGTTCATTTACGTCGCACTAGAGCTGCACAATGGGCTATTGGCGACGGTCGGGGAAACATCCCTGAGGATGATCCGAAGACATGCCATCACAATTTTGATCCTCTGCAGAGGGGATGGCACCCCCGCTTCGGTAGCCCGACGTCCTGCGCGCGAAGTTGAGTACTCTACAATAGAACAGTTTAACGAGGACCAATACCGCACACCCTCGGTCCCTACGCAGGCTGATCCAAGTGGTCACCCACCCGCACACTGACCGTAGCAAGTGATGCCTGACTTCGGTGATCTGCTGGGAACCGTGTCCTAACGATCAGTCCACTGCGGGACAATTTCAGTAAGATGAGTCAGAGTTGTGATGGCTCCGGGGCGAGAGCGTTCGCCTTCCAATGAGGTGAACCTGGTTTGAATACCACGGGAGGTTTACGAGATTTTCCTCTCCATGTAACGCAAATGGGGGTTAGTTCCATCAAAAAGTCCTCCACTAAGGCAAATATCTCCCGTTACTTGATCCAGGAGTTCCCTTGTCCTCTGGTATGGGTTCAAAACTACAAGGCTACTGAGTTGTACATTAGCACTCGCAAACCTAAAAATTATGTCGTTTTTGCAACGACGCTTATATAATAAAATATGATTAGGATGAGCTGTGATTCAAAGGATAGAGCACTCGTCCCCCAGTCAAGGTGACACAGGTTCGAATCCCAGCAGATGGTTGATGCGAATTCTACTCCCGTTTCGCATCGACCACAGTGCTGATTTGAAATATCTTCAGAGTATGAGTCCCTTGCCGTGAAGCTTAACGTGAGAGGTTTTCGTGGTTTTCCTCTCTATGTAACGCAAATGCGATTTTGTTCCATCAAAAAGTCCTTGACGATGGCTAATTTCTACGAATATTTTATCCAGGATTTCCTTTGTCTTCAGGATTTGGTTTAACATTACAAGGCTATTGAGTTGAACATTCATAGTTGTAAACTCAAAATTGTATCGTCTGTTCAACGAAGGTTATAAAAATAAAAATATGAGGAGGATGACGAATTGTAACATCAACGAATAATGAATAAAAAATACCAATAAACAATCGTTATAGTGACGTTACATTTAAGATTCTCTTACTTTATGCAAAAATGGGTTTTGATTTATAAAATAAATTTACAATTTTAAACAGTTTTTAGTTATTAATCAAAAGAACGTGTATAGCCTGCAAAACATTGAATAAAGTGCTGCATAATGCAAGTTAGAAATTATTTTTTTAACTTCATCAATACTTCATATAAAATGCTTCATTTGTTTTTAAAACAAAATTTATAGGGTGTTTATTTTATTGAAAAGTTTATCTTATTCGAAACAACATTTTTCCGAAAATCATCTTTCTAGAAAACATTTTTTAAAGTAATTAATGAAATTTTTTTGTCAAAACTTAGCTTAATCAGATATTAAGTCATTACCAACATAATTCATAATTTGAAGATCCTCTTTGTAATAAGAAGAAAGAAAAGTAAGAAAATCATACCTTAACTTTCAATTTAAACAGAAAATACTCTGAATAAATCTTTAAAGTCTTAAACGTCAAAGATAAAATATCCTATTTTTCATGAATACATTTTATTCTTGCGATAATAAAAATCAATATTTAAACAACTTACTTTTCCTTTCAAAATATATATCTAAGTTCACTAAAGCATATTAAACATTTGTTTTTCATATTATCCTTTTAAAAGAAAATCTAAGCCTTTTTTTTTTATTTATAATTGGGGTATAATAGTTTGGTTAGCTTTATATTTGTCTTCAATCAAGAATCAATATTTCATTTTTATTATTAACTTATTATCGAGTTCATAATCATGTTAATTATGAAAAGAAAAATGCTTTAAATTTGTATTTTTAACTGTTTTATGACCTAATTTTCAAGCACATTGCTCTATGACCTAAATTTTTTAAAGGTTTAAGTTTATTGCGATTAATTAAGGGATATTTAAGTTTTAAGAACGGATTTACAAAATTCAAGTACATCGTTAATTCATTAAGAAATGGCCCTCAAATATTTTTTTATGTCCGCTTTTTGACATTTCAGTTTAATAGGCTTTAACTACGTAATATAACAAAAAAATACTTTTTTGAAATTTTAATCTTTTCAGAAATGGATAACGAATATATTTAACTGGTGTTCGACATAACAAAACTTGAATTAAAATCAAATTAATCGCACAAGGTTCTTTAAAAAAGCAAGAAAAAAATTGAAAAAAAAGTAATGAGCAAAATCTATTGCAGTAAAACATAAATAGAAGATTTTACCTTGATAAAGTTTGAACCGATTACAGATGCCGATTTTCCTATCCAGCTGCTTTTAACGACCCATTCTCTAGTTTGGCAGTTTCTTAAATAAATAAATAAATAATTAAAAAAAAACTTTATTCTAGACGGGTTTTTTTTTAAAAAGTTCAGATAACAGATTTTAAAAGAAATGAAAACTTGCATTACAAATGCAACCAACTACAGCCAAGAGAAATATCGCCGAAAAATGAGCACCAGTTGCTATAGGCCACTGTATTGTAAATTAGCTTCCAAGTGATGTCAGAATTTCAATATTATCGGGTTCATTTATCATGTATCTAATTTTTAAAAAAAACTCTCGATATATTTAATAATCTATTTCAATGTGCTAGAAGAAATAACAACAACATAATCTAGGCGTTGTTGTGTTGACTTTATCACATAAAATACAACACAATACCGGAAATCTAATATTAGTTTGTTACTTTTTTTATGTAGTTTGTATTTTTATAGTAGTGGGTTCAAGTTCTGACCACTGTACTTGTACTTAACGGTTCTATTATTTTGAACTTGATATTTTTGCTTCACAGAATGCTTCTACTATTATTTACCTTAGACCATTAGGTTGTTGTTGCTCACCACAGGGGTTGATGGACAACTTGTTCAAGGCTCTCGTTCCATCTTTGTTGATATCATCTTTGTTATAATAATCTCGATATCGATAACTTCGATAATTATCGACTTTCCATCGGTTGAAAATCCATTGGCTCTCGTTCCATAGGAATGACGATCGTCTCGACATTCACGCTGATGTCATTGTAGAAAATTTCCGCAATATATTCTCATTGGATGGTTATCTTTGTTGATAATAATCTCGACATTAATAACTTCAATAATTATCGACTCTCCTTCGGTTGAAAATGAGAATTATTAAAACGGTATAATGGGGTGTTGTGGAGACAAACAACTAAGAAGGAAAAGGATGCTATAAGAATGTTTCCCTCCCTTGTATTATCCCACAATTGGCTGATCACAAGGACACGATTTCCTGTAGACACCGAAGTCAAACATCACTGGCACCGGTCAGTGAGCGGGTGGGTGATCAATTTGATTGGTATGCGAAGGAGCCGCGGGATCGATCTTCGTAAAACTTTTCTACCGTAAAATGATAGATTTCGCCTGTAGGTCTTCGGAATACAAAGGTGGGAAGCAATCGCATCTACAGAAGATCAAAATTGCGATGGCATGTCTTCTGATCACCCTCAAAGAAGTTTCACAGACCGTCGCCAATAGCCCATTGTGAGATGTGGTGACACAGGAGATGGAGCGTTCGCTTTCCAGTGAGGTGAACCGGGTTCGAATACCAGTGATTACTGGTGATCGTGTCTGTGATATTAAAATATTGGAATCGAAATTTTGCTCACTTTCTTATGAAGTTGAGATGTTTAAGGTAGAGAAACAGGAACTATTGTCTTTATTAGAATTGATCGTCAAAATTCCGACTAATTAGCGACTAGCGAGACCAATTAACCTCTTGAAATGTTTCTGATCACAACGCATTCAAGTTTCTAGCGTTTCCTGATGACTTTAAGCAGAATTTATTTTTAATCGAAATTTTATTGATCTCCCGAATAGGTAGGATTCTAAAACTTTAACTAAAGCTTTGTACTTGTATGAGTTAAAAAGCTTTGCTCCTTTTTTTAAGAATGTCGAGTAGGAATTATACCTACAGTATCGCTAAAAGTAAATTAATTGTCAATCTCTCCAACACTTTCTCACTAAGTACAGTGCTCAAAACTCAACTGAAGATTTTTACTTCATCAGAAAATTGGCTTAAATTATTTTCTGACCGCAACGAACAGAAGTTATCGAAATTTTATCACCACATAGAATCTATCCTTAAGAAACATTTCGGCCACTTTCTAATAAGCTAGAGTGTACAAGTTTCATTCTCAAACTATGTGCCAAATACCAATACAAGTCTCATTTGTTTTCTAAGTGTCGCAAGTGAAATTTATTGCTGCTTCGTCTTCTTTCCACAAACTTACAAACACAAAACAAAAAATATGAAAATAACAAAACAAAATTAAATTTTAAGCGAAAAATTTTTGAAGTCTTTAATATAATCTAATTTTCTAATTTTTAACGTAAGTGAGAGACAAAATGTTTAAAGCTTTCATATTTAGTTTATTATTTATAGAATCTGTATATAGTTATAATTTATTAAATTGAAAGAAATTAGTTATGAGAAGCTATGCAAGTAACTATGATCCTTTATATAAGTAATGAGTATTGAGGATTACCTATTTTTTGCAGATCATATAGTTAATGTGAAATTAATAGAAAGCGTAATTCTATCGTAATAGTTTAAAAAAAATTGATAAAAAAGGCATTTTTTTAATGAAACTACATAAAAAATAATTCAAGCACTTTTATATTTAGTACGTGCTCTGAATAACCAGTGAATGTATTTACAGCTAATGAAAAAAACACATCAAACAATTTTTATTAGAAAGATATTTTTGATATTTTTTTCATTTAAGTATATTTATGATAATTAGGCCAGTAATTAAATAAAAAAAATTTTGTTTCTTAAAAAAAAATTATAATTGATAGAAAACTTCGTTATGTCATTATAAATAGCTAAGACCCCTTCATTTCTCCTCTGTAAGCTTTCCCTTTTCTTTCATTAAGGCCAATGAGGCCACGTTCTTTTTCTCTCTAAATTGAAGGAAACCAATCTCGAGACAATCGGACTAATATTTTGAAAGTTATAAGGATTTTAAGTACAAAAATTAAAATTTTGTACTTGTATATATTTACGAAACTGAACATGCATCAAAATAAATTAGACTTTATTTTCCTAGTTTAACCCCTTAACGATCGGTTAATTTTCATGAAAACGGTCATAAAAGTGTCTATTTTTTATACACGTATATTATACACGTATTTGATTAGTGCTGACATCTAGTTTAAAATAAACTAACTATCTAAAATAACCTTAAAAATATCCTGGGACTGCCATCTGGTATGTAAAATGAGAAATAAATTGCTTTCCGAGCAAAATAAATGAAATAGTTTTATTCCTATTGGCGCGTTACTACTGAACACTCCCGGGAATATCACGGGAGCGAGAAATAGAGGGCGAAACCTCACCCTGTCATTTTCACGGGAGCGAGAAGGAAGGGTTTAATCAAACGGGACTATATACGAGTCAATAAAACGAACAATTCCAAAGCTGTCACTATTTATACATAAAAAACATTACTTTTGACACAAAAAGTATTAATTTTGACATATGTTCAATTTTTATTTTGCTATCTAAACGTGTAAAGTGCATTTTCCAACCCNTAAAAGTGCCTATTTTTTTATACACGTATTTGATTAGTGCTGACATCTAGTTTAAAATAAACTAACTATCTAATATAACCTTAAAAATATCCTGGGACTGCCATCTGGTGTGTAAAATGAGAAATAAATTGCTTTCAGAGCAAAATAAATGAAATAGTTTTATTCCTATTGGCGCGTTACTACTGAACACTCCCGGGAATATCACGGGAGCGAGAAATAAGGGGCGAAACCTCACCCCGTCATTTTCACGGGAGCGAGAAGGAAGGGTTTAATCAAACGGGACTATGTACGAGTCAATAGAACGAACAATTCCAAAGCTGTAAATATTTATACATAAAAAAACATTACTTTTGACACAAAAAGTATTAATTTTCACATGCACATATGTACAATTTTTATTTTGCTATCTAAACGTGTAAAGTGCATTTTCCAACCCATGGGTCTCATTCTTTTCAGAGTAAAAACATACAACGAAAACAATGTCTCACTTGCCTATTTAGAAAAATTTTAATTCAATTCCAACAACTCATCCCATTTTACCCAAAAATGTCATCTCATTGAGAGGTAAATACGAATTCCGCACCCAGCTCGCTCCCACCACAATGCTCACGTAAAATATCCTCAGTGGTAGACGGACCATGGGTTAGAGTCCCTTTACTATCGGGCTAATCATGGGTGGTTTTCGTGGTTTACTTTTCTATGTAACGTAAATGCGGTTTAGTTCCATCAAATAGTCCTCCACAACGGCAAATTCCCTTGTCTTCTGAATTGGGTTCAAAGTTACAAGCTATGGAGTTGAACATTGGTAGATGTGAACTTAAAAGTTGAGATGGTTGTTAAATGAAGGCTACAGAACAGAAGAGGGAGGAGCGTACAGAGAAAAAAAGGAGAGTTTACAGACTTCATTTATAAATTTATTTCAAATTTCATATGAAACAAAACTTTCGAAATTTATTTTTCGGAAGAAAATTTGTATTATTTCATAAACGGATAAAAAAATTTTATTCCACTGACTGAGTATATATAATAGAGACATTATTTTATGGAATTTTACTGCTACCACAATTTAAAAAAACATCGCCTGTCTAACATTTGAGAAGAAAAAAAAAGTTTTTAATAAATATTTAAAATAATGTAGTGTCATTTACTATATAGGTTACGTGCGTTAAAAATCTGCAGTCGGAGATTAAATGCCTCCCAGAGATCTGACGACCACCCCCTCAATCTAGCACGAGGCAAATATTTTTATGAAAGTAGAATATTCGAATTTATTTACTTATCTCATAGCGGGTAATCTAGTAAAAGTATAGTTGGAAATGCCTCTTGGCGAAATCTAAGTCAATTTTGACTTCTATGATTTTTTCTTTTTTTTTTTTAAATTTGACTTTATAAAAATAACTTATCTTAAAATCAATCTTAGAAATAACTTATATCTTAATAAAACAAAATTATATCTTATAGTGGTTAAGCTTTTTGCCGAAAGGTGGCGCTAAAAACATTACGTTCAGTGTGTTGCCAATTTGGCTCTCATTGGTAAAATATTTTTTTTGCTAGTCTCTTTATATAATAGAGTGGAAATCAATTCTGGATCAGTTCTAGATATATCGTCAGTTTTTACAATCGATCCTGTATTTATTGCTTTAGTTATCCTTGCACTTTTTAACTCCTTTATATACTACTTAAATTTTTGATGACTCTCACAATGGTGGCACTGGCCAAATTTAAACATAACTAAATAATTAAACAAATATCTGAGATTTAAATTTATTCTATTTATCATAATTATTTAAACAGCATTTCAATTAGTTGAAAATTTAGGTACAAGATTTAAAGAGCTTTCGCAAATCCCTTCATATTGAGTGACTTAATGAAGGTTATTTTAAAAGCATTGAAAATTTTGAAAGCCATTTACTTAGAAACGAATTAAAGTGAAGTAAATATTAAGGCATTTCT